CCTGGTAGCACAAGGCTTAAAGAAATAAAAAAATGTACTCATAAGTACAGCCCACACCTTACATCTTATCTATGTAAAATGTATGTAATCTTGTTTGTTTGTTTTTTTGTTTGTTTTTTTTTTGGTTTCTTATCTCAACAATGGTTAGGGAAAATGTCATGTTGATATTTCTGACCTTAGGTCTCTAGTTGGCACTCTGAAGGAATTAAGTAAACACTAGAAATAAAAATAAAATAAAATAATAATAATAATAATAATAATAAGAAGAAGAAGAATGTATATCAATATTACTGAAACAACCTATATCATTTGCAAAACCAAAAAAAAAAAAAGCACCAGGAATAGACCGAATAGACAATTTTTGGATAAAACCCGATCTATCACCCACCAAAACCTCGCATGGGCATACAATGATATACTCATAAACCCAGAAAAATGCCCCAAATGTCTCACGTGGGGAGTAACATATCTACTCCCCAAAACAAAAGACACGCAGAACCCGAAGAAACTATAGACCCATTACCTGTCTACTAACAATAAACAATACACTCACTTCTATCATAACCGAGAGGACATGCAACTCCCTTGAGACAAAGAATTTACTATTAGCAGAACAGAAGAGATGTACAAGATGAAGTTATGTGCAAGGATTAAGTAATTATCAATAAAACAATATTGTAAGAGGTTAAAAATAGGAAAAGAAAATTACCGAGAGCATACATCGACTACAGAAAGGCATTCGACAATATATCACGCCCATGAATAAAGAAAAGCCTAAAAAAATATAGAGTATGTCCAACAACGGTCAAATTCATAATAGGGACCATGAACAACTGGAAGACTAAATTAAACCTAAACCATAAAAACTGCTCATTAACATCAAGATCAATCAATATCAAAAGCGAGATCTTCCAAGGAGAGTCATTGTCACTACCACTACTCTTCTGTTCTGCATTAGCGCCACTCAGATGCGTACTGAACAACAGTAGCTACAGATACAAGACACAGAATGGCAAACTGAATCAACTATTTTATATTGATGCTCGTTTGCCAAGGATGACACCCAAGAGAAAAAAAAAAACTCACCATTGTCAAAACCTTCAGCGAAGTTATTAGGATGTAGTGCCAAAGCCACCTTCAAAGGCGGTAAACTAACGAAAACTACAGATTTAGACATTGATATTAACAACAAGATTAAGGAACTAGATCAAGATGGTCGATACAAATACTTAGGAATTAATGAAGGAGACGAATCTACAACATTCAATTATGAAGAAAAAGACCCGAAATGAATATTATAGAAGAATGCGTTTGATACTAGAAAGCGAACTTAATGGGGCCAATAAAATGAAGGCTATTGACACCTTAGCTATATCCGTAGTAACATACAGCTTCAACATTATTAAATGGACGCTAAGACAAGAAAAATACTTATGTCCCACAACAATCAAATAAATAACAGAAAGCATGAAAAACTGGAAGACTACACTAAATCTAAACAATACAAACGGGTCATTAACATCGAGACCAATCAATATCAGAAGCGGGATCTTCCAAGGAGAATCATTATCGGCATTATTCTTCTGCCTTGCATTAGCGCCACTCAGTTGCCTATTGAACAACAGTAGCCACGGATACAAGATACAGAATGGTAAACTGAAACACCTATTTTATATTGATGATCTTAAAACGTTTGTTAAGGATGACAACCAACAGAAAAACCTAAAACCATTGTCAAAACCTTCAGCGAAGATATTAGAATGAAAGTTCGAATCGACAAATGTGCCAAACTCACCTTCAGAGGCGGTAAACTAACGAAAACTACGGATTTAGACCTTGACATCAACAAGATTAAGGAACTAGACCAAGATGGTACATAAAATACTTAGAAATTCATCAAGGAGACTGAATCTAACATTCAATTATGAAGAAAATGATCCGAAATGAATATTATAGAAAAGTGTGTTTGATACTAGAAAGCATACTTAATGGGGCCAATAAAATGAAGGCTATTGACACCTTAGCTATATCCGTAGTAACATAAAGTTTCAACATTATTAAATGGAAGTTGAATGACATTAAAAGGTTGGACGCTAAGACCAGAAAAAATGCTTGCCCCAATGAGGATGCACCACCTGAAATCAGATGTTGATAAGTTGTATATACCAAGAGCTTTAGGGATCCGAGGTCTAATCCGACTTGAACAAACTCTAAAAGCTACAACAATTGGATTGGATGCTTGCCTCACAAAAACAAATGACCCTTTCCTACAAAAACACTAAGTCGACTCCATCAATAAAGAAGCTGCACTCTTCAAGAAATAGCTTAATATAACTGAAACTTTACCAACAAGAAACAAAGCGAATGTCATCTACGCCAAATGAGTAAAACAGAAAGCAAAACAATTTGACCAAATGAAATAAACAAACAAAGAGGACAAAGCGTTGAATGGCAAACAACGAAAGAAGCAGATGTCGACCAACAGAAAACACATCAGTGGCTGAGGAACACCGGGTTGAAATATGCTACAGAAGGCCTAATTTTTGCAGCTTAGGACCAAAGCCTCGCAAACAGATCCTATCACTGTCATATAATAAAGTATGAAACTAACCTGAAATGCAGGATCTGTGGAAAATATGATGAAACTGTAAACCATATTATCTCAGGTTGTCTGGAACTGGCAAAAATTTAATATACCCACAGACAAGGTAGCCACATATGTGCACAGGAAGATATGCAAGAAGCACCAACCAGACACAATTACCCAAAATAATGCTGTATGATACCCTGGAACATTCCACTTCAAACTGACAAGGAAATAACAGCCAACAGACCTGATATTATCATAAAAGACAAGAAATTGAGGAAGTGTATGCTTATTTATATAGCAGTGCCATCTGAGAGCAACACCTACATGAAAATTATCGAGAAATTGTCCAAATACAAGGACCTGGAGTTCTAGATTAAATAGATGTGGGGAATGAAAACTGAGACTGTAATCGGAGCTCTGAGCCTCGGGAGAAAAGTATATGTTGTCCAGAAGAACGCCCAACTCAGAATATCCCATATACTAAGAAAAAGTGCTATCAATGAAATGACAATTCTCCTATAGGGCCTAAGGACCATAGTTTGGACCCGGCTTTACAGGATACAAAGCAGGAAACATATACAAATAATGATAATAATAATAATATAAAATATTAAAAAAGAAAAAAGAATGAAATATTAAAAAACAAAACCCCCAAAAATATGCAAATTATATATGCAAATTATATATGCTAATTATATATGTAAATGTTTTTATATAACTTGTTTGTATTTATTGGTCCAATAAAAAAGAACTTGCTTTTGTGTGTCAACCCCACTTCTTAGTTTGTGAACTTTTTGCCTTATTACTGTTGATTTGCCTTATTACTGTTAATTTGCCTTACATATATTGTTTGCTTGCTATCAGTGTCCCAGGTAACATTAACATACAAGATGCCCAGAAGATCGCTTGCTAGGAACATCCCATAAACTAAGAAAAGTGCTATCAATTAAAAGACAAAACAGGAAACATAACATGCACAAATAATAATAATAATAATAATAATAATAATAATAATAATAATTAGTAAATTTTGGAGAAAACCAAAACAACCCAAGAACCAACTGTTGCAGCAAAAAATATAATTAGAAAAATTTGAAAACCAAAACAACCCAATCTTGTAAATATGAAAAGATGCAACAACGTCTTGGCAAGATGCAAAGACCCCCAACATGGCCGATATCCAGAACGAGGCTAATAAAGCCGATGTTGATAAAGTTAACACTCATCGATGGTTAAGAGCAACTGGATTAAACGCTGAAACGGAGGGCTTTATTCTTGCAGCGCAAGACCAGAGACTTTTCATGAGGAACTTTCAGGTATATATTTTATCTAATACTGTGGATTCAAAATGCAGGTTCTGTGAGAAATATCAGAATGTTATCGACCATCTAATCTCAGGAGGTTCTTACACCAAATGAATATAAATATCGTCACGGCAATATTTACACTGGACAATGAACATCACCCAGCACCGGTTACAGAAATAGAAGATATCATAATTCTATGGGATTACACCATCTTTACAGACAGGAAGATTGAAGCAATTAGGTCGGACATAAGAGTCAAAAAACCGAAAAGAAAAACCTGCCTACTAATTAATATGGCTTGTCTAGCGGACTGCAACATATCGACCAGGGAATTTGAAAAACTATACTGGAAATCTAAATAGAAAAAAAAATGGAAATTGAAAACAAAAATAGTACTAGTCGTAATAGGTGCGCTTGGAATGATAAAAAAGGAACACAACAACACATTGAAAAAATCCCTGGAAATCTTAGCTTAAGAGAAATACCAAAAAGAAAATTGTCTTGATAATTACAGCCGACACACTAAGAAGAATTTTGGCAATGTAACGCTGGTGATGAAATGTAGCCATACCAACACAGCACTACTTGCCTTCAGTCATCACGCAAACTTGTTAACCATAGCATAAATTGAAATAATAATAATAATAATAATAATAATAATAATAATGTGTTTTCCGAAAGATAGCAACGCAAATGAAATAGCATATTAGCAGTATCGTCATTGATTTTTATTTATTTATTTTATCAAATTACCTGATCCAAATCTCGCGAACGTGACTGGCACGGCCCCGCGAAAAAGAGTTACAATAGAAGAATTGTCTGGTTGAATGATGTTTCAAAGGTAGCATAAATGAACGATTTTTTTTCGCATCGTTTCTAAGACCGCCCCACTCCCGCCACTGCCAACACCACCAGCGGCGTACATTGTGAAATTTGCCAAAATGACTATGAATGCCGGTTGGACGTATTTTGGGTAAATATGTCATTTGATTAGCCTTCAAGAGATGGACGTGATTAGAGAATGCAATGGAGAAAACTTTACTTACTTAGGCGTCGAGAGGTTGAAATAAAAGGATAAAAAAAACTTGTCTGATATTCAATGAATGTTTTCCACATCGACAACACAAAATAGTCAAGAAATCAATCTATCTATCTATCTATCTATCTATCTATCTATCTATCTATCTCAGTCTATTCACATATATCTATCTATCTACCTATCTATCTCGGTCTGTTCATATCTATTTCGGTCTGTTGATATTTATCTATCTATCCATCCAAGCCTGTTGATATCTATCTATCTATCTATCTATCTATCTAAGTCTTTTTATATCTATCTATCTATCTATCTATCTATCTATCTATCTATCTATCTAAGTCTGTTCATATCTATCTATCTATCTATCTATCTCAGTCTGTTTATATCTATTTAAGGCTGTTCATATCTATCTCATTTGTTCATATCTATCTATCTATCTATCTATCTATCTATCTATCTATCTGTCTATCTATCTATCGCATCTATTCTATCTATCTATCTATCTATCTATCTATCTATCTATCGCAGTCTGTTCATATCTATCTATCTATCTATCTATCTATCTATCTATCTATCTATTTATCCAAGTCTTTTTATATCTATCTATCTATCTATCTATCTATCTATCTATCTATCTATCTAAGTCTGTTCATATCTATCTATCTCAGTCTGTTTATATCTATTTAAGGCTGTTCATATCTATCTCAGTTTGTTCATATCTATCTATCTATCTATCTATCTATCTATCGCAGTCTGTTCATATCTATCAATCTATCTTTATATCTCATTCTGTTTATACGAAACTCTGTTTCTATCTATCTATCTATCTATCTATCTCAGTCTGTTCATATCTATCATTTTATCTATCTTTCTATCTCAGTCTTTTTGTATCTATCTAAGTCTGTTTATATCTATCTATCTATCTATCTATCTATCTATCTATCTATCTATCTATCATGACCCGCGACTGTCAACTCCTTTGTTCATCTCCACCGACAGCTTCCCATCTACCTACCTGCAACTTCAAAAACTGAGCTTTCTAACTACGACTACAGTTATATGAGTCTGTGGACGGACGACACTCGATCTCGAAAATTTCCGTTCATTTACTTTGATTCCCGTCATTTAGAGCGTAACAGCCTTGAAGGCTCCATTTCTAGAGTTTTGCTGTCTCCGCACTCATAAAACCAGATACAATCATTCAAAGTCCATTTTACTCCAGGGACATTCTAAGCCATCCGTGTTTGTACACATTTTATCGCAACATAATCAAATCGGTGCAAATGATTTTCATCTGCAGCGTAAAACCTTTCTAATTTTCGTCTTGAATCATTCATTGTGAAAGCTCTATAACGAAAACTTGTAAGTCACTCTTGACACGCTCGAATATTCTCAGTACCTTCTCCATAAAGTGCACAAAGATTTTTCCGCTTCAATTAAATCACAGTTTTGTTTTCGTTAAATAAAATTAGGTATAACACGCGGAGGATGTGTTGCTGATTCACTCCCATCTTCAATGTTAATCTGTAGGATTATTTCATTTCACTTAGAGGTGGAGTGGTAAGCAACGTTATAAAATGAAAGGACTCACTTCCTCTCTTTTTTCTTCAGGACGCAGCAGCGACAAGTCGGGCCATAACCCAGCGGGAAATTTGTTCGCACGTTCAAAACGAATAGTCAAACTTAACCCAACCATGTGGCACATTCTCACATACACCCTACATACCGGGTGTAACAACAAGATTGTGCAAATCGTGTAACAGCATAATTGTCCATCTCAAAAAATGTTTAATATCTAAAAAAAAAAACATTAAAGAAACTGAGTTTTTTTTTCAGGCTTGCAGAAAAGAAGTTTAGCCATCTTGACACCATTTGCTGTCAGAATCAATTAAAAACCCTTTGGATTATTCAGTTAGAAAGAGAACAGGTTTACATTGTTTTATACCATCCCCACTATATCTAAGCAATAGTGAGAGGAAAAAGATCACTCAGGCCTTTAGTAATGGTTCCAACATTCATACTCCGGCTTCAATTTTCAAACTTCATCCAAGAACCATCAAGAGAACGGTGAATAAGTTTTAAAAAAGAGGGAAAAGTAGAGAGGAATTCTGGATCAGGAGGTCACAACAGGAAGAGGGATCAACATTTCAAATTAGAGCTAAATGCCTTCTTATTGTTTATTCAAGAACCATCAAGAAATAGTGAATAAGTTTTAAAAAAGAGGGAACAGTAGAGAGGAAAAAAAATCAGAAGGTCACAACAGGAAGAGGGATCATCATTTCAAATTAGAGCTGAATGCCTTCTTATTGTTTATTCAAGAACCATCAAGAGAACGGTTTCTTTAATTTTTTAAAAAAACAGTAGAGAGGAAAACTGGATGAGGAGGTCAAAAAGGAAGAGGGATCATCATTTCAAATTAGAGCTCATTCTTATTGTTTATTCAAGAACCATCAAGAGGTTGGGGAATAAGTTTTAAAAAGAGGGAACAGTAGAGAAATTCTGGATCAGGAGGTCACAACAGGAAGAGGGATCATCATTTCAAATAAGAGCTAAATGCCTTCTTATTGTTTATTCAAGAACCATCAAGAGAATAGTGAATAAGTTTTAAAAAGAGGGAACAGTAGAGAGGAAAACTGGATCAGGAGGTCACAACAGGAAGAGGATCATCATTTCAAATTAGAGCTAAATGCCTTTTATTGTTTATTCAAGAACCATCAAGAGAACGGTGAATAAGTTTTAAAAAAATTTAGTAGAGATGACGAAAAAACTGGATGAGGAGGTCAAACAGGAAGAGGGATCAAAATTAGAGCTAAATGCATTCTTATTGTTTATTCAAGAACCATCAAGAATGGGGAATAAGTTTTAATAAAGAAAAAGTAGAGAGGAATTCTGGATCAGGAGGTCACAACAGGAAGAGGGATCATCATTTCAAATTAGAGCTAAATTTATTGTTTATTCAAAAGAACAATCAAGAGAATGGTGAATAAGTTTTAAAAAAAGTGAACATTATTTATCGAGGAAAACTGGATCAGGAGGTCACAACAGGAAGAATTGGATCATCATTTCAAATTAGAAAAATGCCTTCTTATTGTTTATTCAAGAAACATCAAGAGAATGGGAATAAGTTTTAAAAAAGGAACAGCAGAGAGGAAAACTGGATGAGGAGGTCACAACAGGAAGAGGGATCATCATTTCAAATTAGAGCTAAATGCCTTCTTATTGTTTATTCAAAACCATCAAGAGAATAGGGAATAAGTTTTAAAAAATAGAATCACAGTAGAGAGGAAAACTGGATCAGGAGGTCACAACAGGAAGAGGGAAGTCGTCATTTCAAATTAGAGCTAAATGCCTTCTTATTGTTTATTCAAGAAATTCAAGAGAATGGGGAATAAGTTTTAAAAAAGAAAACAGCAGAGAGGAAAAACTGGATTACAGGAGGTCACAACAGGAAGAGGGATCATCATTTCAAATTAGAGCTAAATGCCTTTTATTGTTTATTTCAAAGAACCATCAAGAGAATAGTGAATAAGTTTTTTAAAAGGAATAGTAGAGAGAAAACTGGATCAGGAGGTCACAACAGGAAGAGGGATCATCATTTCAAATTAGAGCTAAATGCCTTCTTATTGTTTATTCAAGAACCATCAAGAGAATGGTGAATAAGTTTTAAAAAAGAGAACAGTAGATTGAAAACTGGATCAGGAGGTCAAACAGGAATAGGGATCATTGTTTTAACTTAAAGATCAGTTAGAAAAGATCCAACTCAATCCATAAGACGTTTGGCACGTGAGAGACGAGTTTCAACTATGACAGTTCAACGAGGAATGAAAAAAAGACTCGAAAATGAAGTCATGCGTGAAACGTGTAAGGCACCCTATTACTCCAGGACTGAAAGTTAGAAGGTTGGAGAGGGCGAAGATCATCTAATATATATATATATATATATATATATGAACTTTATTTCAATCCTTCATGTGATTCATATGCTTAGCTATGAAGAATTAATGATGAACATATCATTTTCGTTTATGAATGATTTCATCAGTATTCTTCTGTTAAGCTTGGAGAATAATTATATATATTTATTGCTCAAAGTAGAGAATAATAGTGTTATAAAAACATCGGAGAATTCCAGTAAGATATCTTTAATCACTTCTAAGATACAATGGTTCGGACCATAATCTAAGAATTGTGTAATTTTGCTGATACACGATTTGGGCAATTTTGCTGTTCCACCCAGTAAATGTATTTCCTTCTTTTTAATCCCTTTCTACGTACACCAGTCTGTGTTTCTCTTTTTTTGAATTATACACTTCCGTGTATAAATACATATAAGTAACTCTAAATGAAAGCGTCCCTTAAGGTTTAAAATTAATTCTAAAAATGAAAAATCTTTCTTGAAGATTTTATTTTAAATTTAATTTCAAGCTAATAGATTAAACTTAATATGTTCAATAAGTAAAATACTATATTTCAAAACAAATTTAAATTGATTGGAATGATGTTTTTTTTTTTTTTTATCTGTAAAAATTTACAATTTTCTCAGAACAACGCAATTCTCTTTATTAAAAAAAAACTTTCAGAAATAAAAAATACTTCTCTGAAACATTATTTGAGGAATATTAGCTGATTTAAAATTAAACAAATTTGATTTTAAACAAATATTACTTACTTTTAGTTTGGAATATCACAGAAAAACAATTTTACACGTAGTTAGGTGTTTTTATGAGGTGTTGACAGCTCTACTGTCAGTCAGATGTTTAGGAAATTTAAATATTTTTTTGACGGGGACATATCCGTAAAAATTACTTGACGAATATAACGTGAATGCCTTTTTCCTAGCATTTTTTTTTATATATATATAGGAAAATAATCTCTTCTGAATTGTGAAATAAAAACTGGAATGAAATTATGAAATTTAATTAGAAATGATCCCAATTGCTCTTCTGAATAAGATATATTATGAATATTCTTGCCTTTAGAAAAAAAATCAATGAATTTTTACAAGAAACAAGAATTGTTTTCATTTTTTAAAAGTACGGTATTTGACGGCATATAAGGCCCTTTTTTTTTTTTTTTACTAAAATATCCCTTAAAATACTCCTGTGTCTTATATGACATATGTAGGTTTACAATTCGTGATCGTCGACCGAAGTTAGCTACCTGGCAGCTCCTATTAGCTTAGGCTTAAAAATAAGGGAGCAATGGAATACGTAGATGGCAATACCTGATCTCAACCTTACACTTACAGGAAGAATAAAAAGACCCAGCATTGAACAAGTCTGTGAATGAGTGAAGCAAGCTTGGGATAATATTAAACCAGAAATTGTGAAATCTTTTAAAAAGTGTGGCATTAGCAATGCTCTCAATGGAACGGAAGATGACGCATTATTTACGATGATAATAGTATTGAAAATAAGTATCAGAGTTTTGATAACGAAGACGACGAATTTTATGGATTTGAAGATGAATAACATTTTAATGGTAACTCTACTGTTTTGCTCAATTATAATAATTGCTTGATTTTTATTTGTTTTTTTTTAACTTTGGATATGATAAAGTTTTTTTATAGGCTGGTGATTTATTTTTTCCTATTATGCTTTGTTTAATTGTAACCATGGCTTCTTTAACCAAAATAATACCTCATAAATATAGCCTAGGCTGTAACATTTACTAATAATTTTATTAATTACTATTTTTTTCTTGATCTTCCCTGCTGAAATTTGGGGTGCGTCTTATACAACTGCGCGTCTTATATATCATCGAATACGGTAATTATAACGATTTATAAGGTTTTAAATCTTTTACAATTCTGTATTATTTTGTCCCTTTTAGTAAAGGCTATATTTATTAATCATGAACAGAAATTCATTAAGTACCGAAAAATTATTTCTTAAGGCAATAGTGTTCATAATATATCGTATTTAGAAAAGCTTTTTATTTTACGATTCAGAGCAGCTTTTTGGAAACTGAGGAAGTATTACAAAATACATACATACATACATACATACATACATACATATATATATATATATATATATATATATATATATATATATATATATA